TCTTTTTTTTTTTGTTTCATTGTTTTGAAGAGATTTTTTTTTTCAATCACCTTAATCCTTCTTTTAATGTTTAATTGGCGTTTTGTTTTTTCTTTTTTTGTTGATTTATTTACTTTTTTCCTGATATTCATCTTTATTTGTTTATGATTCATAAAGTTGGGCGTAAAAACATGTACATGAAGTACATTGTCTTCTAATCTCCCAAGTATTACTTGATCTGACCAGATTTTTCCTTTTTTTACGGTTTGAAACATCAAAAAGTCGGGGAAGGTTTTACTTGTTTCGCAATTTTATATTCGTTAATTTATATTTGTACCACAATTTCTTTTTCTCATTCTTTTGGAATTAGTCCAATTTTAGACGTTAATTTGCAAATTCTTTTGAAACAATCGGTAAAAAAAAAGAAAAAAAATTATTCTCAGAAGGTTTTGATATAATACTTTTGCATAAAAAAAAAAATAAAAATTGTTCTTTAAAATATGGACGCGTTGAATAACATTTGGTAAAATCACGATCAAAATAAATAAAAAAATTTTTTTTCTTTGTTTCTTGTATTGGACAATTTTAATTGAATAATATTACACAAAATAAATTAAATTCTTTTTATTATATTAGGCGTAATAACAAATCCAAATTCATGCTTCAATTTGGAATGAAAAGGACTCTCCTTTTTTTATAACTATCAAAAGATTTCTTTCTATCGATAAGGTCAAAAAGAAAAAATATAACGGGTTTTTCTTGAAATATCACCCCGCAGTAATCTTAAAGGATTTTATTGGCCACACAGAATTATGTCACTTACAAATTAAAATGGAAAATGCATTTTTTCTTTTTAGGTTAGGATGGTTAGAATCTTGGAAGATAAAAAGAAAAAAAGGCAACTTGGCAATTATAACCTTTATTTCCTAAAGAAAATAAGAAGAAATTGGGAACCGCATGTAACGATAAATAATTCGTCAATTTTATTCCTTCTTGATGACTTGTATCACGGTGCTAAGAAAATAAAGAAAGGTGAACAACTCAATCTCAGATCTGACAGTATCACAGTGTTACAGGATCTGGTATCACACCCGTACAATATCTGGTGACCAAAATATATATATGTATCCGAAAGTTATTCGTTTTTTTTTAAATAAAAAAAAGAGGTCGCATATAAAAGAATGATTTCGTTTGGCGTATGATCAATGTAACTTGTTTTGGAAAAATGGAGAAAAAGAAAAAATGCTCTCTTTTTTAAGTTTATGGTTTAATTGGATTTGTATAGAGCATTGGATATGATGAAAATTTTCATGTCATGCAGTGTGGCGCCTCTATTCAGAATTAAGATTAGGCGGAAGTTTATATTTAGATGATAAAGTGATAAAAAGATACAAATGGGCCCATAGTCGACCATAAAAAAAGATGATGTATGTGCCCAATTTCATGCATTATTATTATCGACCATTTTTTCGAGTAATCCGCAGCAAAAAAGGTTTAGGCGACTTAGAAAAATTCCGACATGCATCCGTTCACCAGCATCATGCGTGTTAATAATAACCTACAGTTTTTTGTTTCTTTTAATGATATGCTCGGTCCTTTGCATAATTATCACCCTTTTTTTTAAACAATAGTTCTTTTTATAATCTTCAATATTGTGTGCGACACACTGTACTTTGCTTTTTTGTTCACATTCGTTGAATGAAAATTTTGGGATTTTCAAGATTCTGAAACAGTCACCCATTTTTTTTTCATGTGTCCCCTGTTATTTTATTTTTATTATTATTATTCTTATTATTATTATTTTATTTATTTTTTTTCTATTCAACGGAGAATTTAAATATAATTATTGTGTATGTGCATGTGTTGCCTGCCTGATGTGGAGAAAATAAGTTTAGGGAACAACCGCGTGGGTACATCTTTGTATTGGTTACTAAATTGGTTAATCTTTTTTAGATAGGAAATCTGATAAAAGACTCTTTCTTTTTTTCTTTTTGATCTTCGTTTTTGTGACTTTTATCACTGTGAAGGTTTCAGGTCGCGATGGATGATCGATGTAACTATAATTGGTTGTTAATATGGAAAATATGCAACAAATTTATCAAAACCTTTTTTTTTTATTTTATTTTGACAAAAAAAAAGATTACGCCTTTTTTTAACCACCTGATAAACATTATGCCGTTGCCAAGTCAAGTGCCAAGAAAAGGTATGTATACAAAGTTAAGGGTTCATTGACGATTGTCCGGAATCTTCTCCGCACCTTTTTTGGGGGGGAGGGGGAAATTCCAAAGGACTGGTGGAAACTTTCGTAAGAGTTAACGCCAATTCTCCGCGGAAGGAAGGTCGCCGGAAATTCGAATGATGTTGTTGGGGCACACGTTACATGAAATTAATTTTCTTTTTAGTAACGAGATGGCGAGCCACAACACGTCGCACATCGTGATTCATGACAAATGATTTTGGGATTGAAGTCCCTTTCTTTTTTTAAACTTTCGACCGCAGATCCAAACAAAAGGGGCCCGTGTCATTTTTCGAATCTGTCATAATCCCTTTATGGGGTTTAACTCTTGTGATAACGAAAAATTGTGTGTGATAAGTAAATCTTTAATTGTTTCATGTTATACGTTGTGTCATATGAATCATTTAAAAATCATTTAATCTTATCGCTTTGATTGGTTCACAACAAATCTCTTTTTTTTGAAACTATGGGTAAACAACGCGAAAAAAAAATATAAATTTATTATTTATTAAATAATAAGGATGTGATACATGGATTTACTCGATTTGCATTTATCAAAAGTTTTTTTTTAAGCGATTTTCGTTCCGAGAACTCCGAACTTTTTCATCTTCCATTTTTTTTTTTTTTTTTTACTTTTCTTTTTTTTAAAAAACATAAAAACCTATAATCAACAACTAAAATGAAATTATTAAAATATGTAACGACACTAATAGCATTCACAAATAAATGGGTCACGAGGCGTTGAACCGGATTTCCTCCAACATCCTAATTTTGCGAATGAACATCCGAAATTGATCCATTTGAGAATCAACCGATTTCAACAATAACGTACAGCATTATACAGTAACATACATTAAATATATATCACATCTTTACTTTATACCATATATAAACTAGTTAAAATCAAAATAAAAGGAGTTCTGATCGAAATGATGATGTTCAGAAAACCTTTCTACAAATAACAATTTAAGACAATTTAAGACAATTATAACCGGGAGATTTTTTTTCCAAAAGAGGGTTCATTCCGATCGGCTGAAACCAAAATGAATAATAAAAAAAAATGAAAGGGGAGGAAGGTTTTGTCTTATTGAGACCAAATTCTACTTATTTAAAAAAATCGCGTATTCGTTTTATGTTTATGTATTTGGTAAGGGAAAAAAAAGAAAAATAAAATATAATAAAATAAAATAAAAAAAGTTTGTTCTGTGCGCGTATTTTGGTTAGATTGGTGATGTCCCAATTCGGTGTTTCCGTATGGTCATCTGCTCTTTATCACCCACCCTCCTGTAAAGGTATGTAGGTCGATGCTCTCTTTCTCACTCTCCTTTTTTTTTTAAAAAAAAAAAAAATATGGACCTTCAATTAGAAATAATTTATGTGGTTTACGCACTCCCATGCATTCATTGAATGAACCTTTTTTTTATACAAGATAAATAAAAAATGATGTTATCCATTCTTATAAAACATTTAATATTTCGTTGATTTACATATTATCTTTAAAATAGATCCCGTTGATATCATTGATTATGTTTCATTGGAATTTTGTATGATGAATAAGAAAATTTTATGTAAAAGATTATGTAAATAAAACAACGCCAACAATGGTTCATGATTCAAGCATTTTTCTTTTTCGTTACATAATGACTTATCTATAATCGCATGATTTACTTTATAAAAACATGTTTCAGGACAAGATTCTGTTATCTAAAAGGATATCATTTTTATGGAAAGTTCGCGATTGGTGCTAAAAAAAAAAAAAAAAAAAAAAATTCAAAAGAACACATCATCATGTTCATAATCAATCGGTTCATCTTTCTTAATCACACAGTTCTTAAATGGTAAATCCATCTTATTGACCTGTTATGGTGGTTCGGATTTTTTTTCTTCTCTCGTCTAACAAGTAGTTATACCAATTTTAATTTTTTTTTGACGAGAAACTAATTTTTCCTTTTTTAAATATAAATATATATCTCATGCAATGGGGACCTTTTGACAATATAAAGAGGAAATTTCGGGGAAATTTAAGAATTAATGATAAAATCTCGGCCTGAAAATACATATTTGGTTTTCCCCCTTTCTATGGCAAAGGGCCCATATAAATACCCTTTTCAAGTAAAGATCGTAAAAATCATAGGGTACGACGATTAAGGATAAAGTCTTGACTGCTTTGGAAGTGCCAATTAAAAATTAAAAAGTTAAATTATTTTACTTTTCGAGTAATCAATAAGTAAATTAAAAAAAAAAAATTTTTTTAGATGATTAATAATAAATTAATAAATTTAAAAATGTATATTACTAATGTAAATATTTTATCAGAAAAAATTATCTTTTAAAGCTGTATTTTTATTTTCAATTCGTTTATTATAATTCTTATCGAATGAAACATATTATAATAAAATCCAACAATGTGAATTTTTTGTTTTATTAAGAATTTTAGAAATCAAAATCTTTTACAGTGTAATCATAAATACTTAATATGAAGTTGGTTTAAGTTAGATCTGCTATATAAATTACAATAAATAAAATAAAGAAATAAATAAATAATATTCAATACTTAAATACTTAAACCTTATTTAAGAAAATAATTTTTATTAAGAAGAGAAATCAATTTTATGATTAATAAAAGAATATTAATATAAAATGAAAAATAATTTCTATATGATATTAATTAATATTATTAATTTACTTTATATTTATTTTCTTATAATGTATAACAATTATTTTTGTAAATACATTTATATTTTCTATTAAAACTAATTTTAAAATAATTTATTATTTATATTTTCATTAAAATATTATCTTTTATCATTAATTTTTATTAATAAAAATTTAATATTCTTTTAAATTAATAAATAAAAATATTTAAATTAAAATATATTTTTTTCAATTTTAAAACAATAAAATTTTTTACTTCTTAAAAAAAAAAAATATTACATTTATAAAAAATTAAAATTTAAATATTTTAAATTTATTACAAGTTTAATATATACTAAAATATTTATTTAGCTAAAACTATAAGTTAACTAAGTTTTTTTTAAATTTTTACAAATTTGTTCAAATATATCTTTATTATAATAAAAAAAGAAAAAAGATCAAAAATTCAAAAATTAGTTATTTTATTAAAAAATTCATATTTAGTATGTAATAGAAAAAATTTAATTTTTTAAAGTTTTCTCCTTTTTACAAAATATTTACAAAATATTTTATATTTTTATTTTTAATAATATATTTTTAAAAATAAGAATTTTTATTTAAATTTAAAATTTAAATTAATTCTAATATAAATCTTTATATAATAACTAATAACCTTTTTACAATAGAATGTTTAAGTTAGTAATTTACCTCTTATCATTTTTTAAAAATCAATCAAATAAATAATAAAATTTTTTATTATTATAAAATATAAAATAATTGTATGTTATTGCATAGATATGCTTTATAATGGTATGATGTGATATGAAATATCACATTATATCATTATTAAGCAAAACTGTATAATAATAATATTAATATACAAATTAAAAATAATCATCATTTAGATTAAACTTTTTTGTTATTTACAGCATATTAAATCATTATTAAACTTTGTTTGCTTTTTTTCTTCTTTAAATATTTGAATAATACTAAAAGAAATTAAATGTGCACAAATATCAAAAGTAATATATTTTAATTAAAGATTTATTTATTATACTAACTGAATATGAGTGAGATACAGAAGATGTCACTTAAGGTTGCTGGACAAAATCAAGAGTTTAGACAGACGTCTAAATAGTAAAAGTAAAACTTGGTTAAATTATATTAAAACCTTATTAAAAATTTGCGAAATTTGAAAAAAGGTAGAACTATATCAAAGCTTATAAAAATGGCGAAACTATATCAAACACTTAGTAAAAATTTAGTGAAACTAAAGGTTTTACCATTTTGCCAAATCTAAAATAAGTTTAGACAAGCAACCTTAATGTCACTATATATATATAGTGACATCTACTTACATCATAATGTTACCTACTTATGCATATAGTGATACTTACTTATCTTCTGTAACCTTCTTATTATCAAGATATTATTTATATGATTTCACCATTCTGTGATCTTTTTATTTTCTTATAGCTATCTATCTATTTGTTTTCATTGCTCTATGATCTTTTATTACCTTCTAGATATCTGCTTGTTTTCAATGTATTGTGGTCTTTTTTGTCACCAAGATGATAGACTGATATTGATTGTAAAAATCATATTGCAGTTAGGTGATATAGTCAAATTCACTATTAATTTCAGCTGACACTATAACATAATTTTAGCTGATTTTAGAGCACATGATTTGAGGATCTAACACAATGCTATGCCAGTAGCAAAATTTACTGAGATATTTCTAACAATTCTGAGGGATTTTGTAGTAGTAGCAATACCTCTAAGATCATGTCTTACTTTTGTATCAATTTCTAGCTTTGATCATTTAGGGATATCTTGAGACATAATTGGAAAATTAGTATTAGAATCGACTGTGCCCACCAGAATCACTAGATGCTTAATTTTACATTTAATAGTGATAACATCTGTGGCAGATTCTTTTCTTTAAACAAAGTTTATTTCTATAGGATCATCCAAAAATTCTTCCTCCTCTAGGTTTGATAAATGTCTTTGGTAATTGGAGCCTTATCGCACTGAAACTCTATTTTCTGAATAGAAGGCACTTGTTTTGGTATATCAACTTTATTGGAATCAGAAACAGAGTCTTGAGAAATCAATACAGGAAAAATTAATTTAAGTTCACTTTGAAGACTTTGAAAAATTTTACGAATAGTTTCTTTCAGAGTGCTTCATTTAGCCTTACCAGATCTATTTATTGGCTTCTCAGAATCTACTTTACCAACTTGTTTAGCAGATTTAGCTAAAGGTGTTATACTATTGGACTTGTTTATTTTCTTAGAATGTTTCTTAGACAAGGATTTCTTAAAACTAGATTTTTTAGAGCTAGACTTCTGCTTTACTTTTTTTTATCTTAGCTATATTAACATTAAGTTCACCTTTAGAATTAGAAGAATTAGAAGAACTTGAATCAGAATCAGAACTATCACTAGATGAGATATCATAAGAAGAATCTAAATTCAAATCTGAGATCAGATCTAAAGTAGCGAGATTAACCTTACCTTTTTTAGACTTTTGTTTTTCTATTTCTTCTTCCTGAAAGCATTTGCGAGAATTATGCCT